GTTTTGAGGGACGTGGTCCTTATTCCTTCTCGATGGTTTAGGTCTCTGGCTGTGGATCCAGAAGGTGGGAGTTCAGTCCCTTCCCTCCCTGTGCCTCCTTGACAGGGGCTGGAACCCACCGTGTCCATCTGCTGTGTGGTTCTGAGATGATGATGAGGATGATCTGTGGATTAGGAATCGGTGGCATCTCAGAAGCCACCAGGAGGCATGGAGGAGCAGGATATAATTTTAGCCAGACTTGCTAAATAAGTCTTGGTTGGACTTATTTTTGAGTGGTATAGTATTGCCCTGAGTAGGCTCTCTAGCAAGAAGGTCTCAGTGGCAGACCCACAAGGCTACGAAAAATAGAATAAATGTACAGTAGATGCATCTCCAGTGCCGGGGCGGCTTTGTTTTAAAGGAAAAAAGTTGTGGTTGAAGTTGTACTGCAGACGTAAGAAAGTTCACTCCATCATTCAACCCTGCTCCGTATTCAAAGCATGGGAAGATTGATACAGCCTTCTTGTACCTTATTTTCCACCTCAAAAACATAGAAAAGGTGAACGCCACTCTTTCCTTCCTTAAAAAGAAAGGCCTTTGCTGATATAGGACTAATTTCATCGAATGCTTCCCTCTCCCAAATATAGATCAGTTCATTTGGACTGGTAGAGCTCATAGAACTATGAACTGAACTGTGGGGTCAGATCTGCTTTTGATAGAGGTGTTTACTAGCAGGCTTTCATTTTTAATTCTTCCACATCACTAGTGATGTGCTACATATGGAGTGGAATTGCTAGTGTGATTTCGTTGTAGTGTTTACTGGGGGAGGAATTTAAAGTGCAAGAACTGTGCTGCAATGTGCCTAGGTTTTGAATGAGGAGACACATTCATCTATGGTCTGATGTTTCTGAAAAATGTTTTAGAAGATGACTATAACACTAGCTCATTGCTTTAAATGGAAGGATCTTCTTCTGTGAATTCCCCTGCTTTTTAAAATGGTGCAACATGTTGATATAAGTGTTGGGAAAAGAAGATTGCTTTTACTGAGCAACTTAAAGCCGGAGATTTTTACTTTAAATTCACTCCAAAGCAAACAGTGAACAGATGAAAAGATCACCACGATCTCCAAAACAATCTAAATATCTCTAAAGAAGCCAGAGTTGCTTACAATTGACAAGCTAAATTGCTATTTAAGTTTTTGTCTTAACAAGACAGTTACTGTGTACTACAGTGTACTACTCAAACGTTGGTCTGCTGCTCACAGTTTTCCCCATCCACCCATAGACAACACATCCCTGGCTTGTGTGTTCCACCAAAATCTACTCCGAAACAAGCTGGGCAGACTTAGAAAACCACAATTCTCATGCAATGATTGACGCAGCATTTTCTATTTTGGTAAAGGGCACAAAGATTTCTAGCTTTCAAAAAGATGGCAGAATTAAGAGGTGGGATTGCGACATAAGTGAAGAAGAAAAGGTGGCCTTTATATTTGTTTCCTTGGGGAAAATAATGTGGAAATCCATCATCAGCTGTAACTACGCAGTGGCTAGAACAACTGTGTAATCTTGCATGTTTGCTAAAAAAAATGTGATGTACTTTCTGGTTTACAGAATGTAGCTTTGCTCTATGCAGAAACAAGGGTTAATTTTGCCCATTTTCCTCACTGCATAGTGTGTGTGGTCTTGTTGAGATCAGCAGCACAGTAACTCCCTTAATGGAAGAAACATAATCTACACAGAACTTCAAACATTTTATGGGAACAGCTGTTGAACTCAGCAGTTTTAGAGCCGATCATGCATGCACACATGCAGGTGACAATTGTATTTCATTGCATTCAAATTAATGTGAAGAAATGCAGGTGGTGGCTGAGTGTAGGTTGAATGGATTTTGTTTAGAGATTTCTTTGCTGCAATTTAATTTGAGGCTAAATTTGATGATTACATTAAACAGAATATGATTCAGATTTTGTTAGGAATTCATAGTGATGGATCAAAGATCTGGTCTTTTACTTCTATAAGGGCAAATAGGCTAGAGTGTGTATTTCTCCCTCCTGAGTTGGAATGGAGAACAAAGGGAAAGATTGCTGGACTCTGTATATTAGAGCTGGTCAACTTGATATTCGTATGTGTCATCAAAGTCATTTCCAACTTATGATGAACCTCTGAAATGACTTGTTATTAACAGCCTGCTTAGCTCTTGCAAACTAAAGACTGAAAGTTATTTTATGGAATCAATCCATCTCATGTTTGGTCTTCCTCTTTCCCTACTGCCATTTACTCTTCTTTTCCAATGAGTCTTCCCATGATGTGCACGGAGTTCACCAGCCTCCACTTACTGTAGTTATTTTTGTTTCTAGAGGGAGTGCAGGGTTGAGTTGATCTGGCACTCATGTGCTTATCATTCTGGTAGTCCATTTGATCCATAAAGATCTCCTGTAAAACTGCGTTTTAAATGAATCATCTTTTCCTCTATCAGCTCTCTTCGCTTTCCAGCTTTTACATCTCTATATAGTAATTGAGAACATTGTACTGTAGTATGGATGATCTCAGTCTCCAGATACATGTCCTTTCTCTTAAAAAGTCCTTTGTGGCCTTCTTTATAATGTTGGATTTCAATTTTCCACCTCTTTAGCTGTGTTTGAGAAGCCTGCTGGGAGTTGGAGGCCAGGGATACTGAGAAAGCCAGTTGCCCACCCCACCCACACCATATATTCTACAGGAGAGTTTTCCACTGCTTGCATTTTATATGTGTACTGTATATCTTATTTGGCATTGATTTTTCTTGTACTTAGAATCGTCGCTGCTCTCTAAAGCTCTCTCCTTTTGTTTGCCTCAGGGACACAGTTTTAATAGTGCAGGACTGCTTTCCATGGCCTGTGTAGAAGGTTTACCGCAATTTGTTCCAATTTTGTTGCTCTCTGCTTCAATCAAGGACCCCTTGTTCTCATATTGTGGTGAGTGGGCAGGCTGGCACTCTGAACCCCTTTTTCCCATTCATTCTCCCCCATTAATCACAGCCAAGACTGCCTGGCCTACAGATCTGTTGCTCAGGAGAGTGGTATTTTTCTCATGAAGCTACAGAGTATGTTCTCTTGCCAGGGTCATGAATCCCTTAGAGGTCCCATCTTGACGTTTATAGTTTTGTTGCAGTGGCAGAGAAGCTGGGGTGGAGGGAGGCTTTGTGTGTGAGTTAATTGTGTACAGCAGTGAGAACTTGTCTCCTAAAGGGAGGCAGTTTCTGTAAGCTGTACTGTAATCATGCACAGGAAATTTCCGTAATGCTTTGGTTTCAATGGCCTAAAACAGGCCGAAAGAAGAGGTGATGCCTTGTGAAAGCTGGCATGTTGTTTAGTCAGGCTTCTTGTTGCTATTTTCCCACCCTGTAGCACATTCTGCCTCTTTGAACTGAGAAGGATGCTTCAGGAAACAGTTTGATTAATTAGTGTGCCTAGAGTATGGTCTGTTTAGTGTTGGTTCCTATTTTGATTTCGGAAATGTTGTTGACTTGGGATGTTCACAGTGAAAATACTCATATTTGTTTCCTTTCACTTTTTCTTGATGGGGGAGTGTCTCTTTCATTCTCATGCCTTTAAACATGGAAGGGACTGGCTCATTTGGATTCTTTGGTTTATGATTCCTCATTTGTGTTTTCTGGTGTTGGGAGTCCCCTCTGAGCACCAGTGTCACAAACAGGTACCAATAAGATATATATATTTCAAACTGCCTAAGGGACGTGGTGGCGCTGTGGGCTAAACCGCAGAAGCCTGTGCTGCAGGGTCAGAAGACCAAGCAGTCGTAAGATCCAATCCACGTGACGGAGTGAGCGCCCGTCGCTTGTCCCAGCTCCTGCCAACCTAGCGGTTCGAAAGCATGCAAATGCGAGTAGATTAATAGGGACTACCTCGGTGGGAAGGTAACAGTGTTCCGTGTCTAAGTCGCACTGGCTAAGTGACCACGGAAGATTGTCTTCGGACAAAACGCTGGCTCTATGGCTTGGAAACGCCCCCTAGAGTTGAACATGACTGGACAAAAATTGTCAAGGGAAACCTTTACCTTTACCTTACAACACCTTTGTATTGGAAAGGACCCTGCCACAGTCATCCATGGTTTTCCATCCCACCTGACCTCAAATTAGCTTCACTCTCCCTTCCTGGGCATCACTGACACCAGCCCAAGCTGTATTCCCTCTTCCTCATCTTCTTCTTGTGTTGGTGTGTTGGGCACCCCTGCTCTCCTCCGGGCACTGCCACCCTGTGTATTTGCCCAGGCTGGGTGGTCAGATATCTGGTTTTGTGTTTAAAAGCCCTTAACTGCTTGGAACCCAGAATAGTTTAGAGATTACCTGCTCTCTTAAGAATTTCTTCATTGGTGGCCTCTTGCAGGTCCAGCTATGCCATTTCAAATGAGGTGGGAGTTATCTTACGGCCCTCTTCCATGGTGATGATCCACCTTTAGAATGCCCTCCCCAGGCAGATCTTGTTTTCTTTCACTTGCCAGGAAGGAAACATTATGTACTCATTCCTTTTAATAAGGATTTGTCTGGGTTTTCTTCTCTCTCTTTCTTTCCTCCTCTTCTTCCTCTTCCCTTGCTGGTGCTTTGTTCATATTCTCCATTCTATGTGGATTCTAGGTAGTTATTTTAGACTGCTGTGTGAGCTGTTTTGGGAGGCCTGTGTATGAAAGCCATATAGAAATACCAAGTGCATGCAAATCCTGTTGTGATGTTTGTGTAGAGGAAGGATACACACAGC